TGCGATTGTGACAAAGCTCTGGACACAGTTGGCAGCTGGGGGTGGGGAGAAGTGGGGACCGGCCTCTGGGCTGCAGATGCCAGGTGTCGGGGGGCCGGGTGGGCACGGAGCACAGCAGGCCGGAGGCTACGAGTGTCCCACGGCCCATTCCATGAGGAATTGACACTGTTCACCCCCTCCCCAGGCTTTTCCCCTGGGGAATCTGCCCCATTTCTGTGGGGAGGCAGCAGGGGGCGCTGCCTCTCCAGCGCCCTGGCTCTGTGCTCCCAGAAGTGCAGCACCCCCTGGTGGTGTTGCTCCTATGCCCACTGGGAGGTGGTAGGAGCCGAGCTCCCGCACCCAGAGCCTAGGCACTTAGGTCAGTTGCTGATGGTGGCCAGTTACAATCTGGTCTTGGTGAAGGTTCATGCTGCAACTGGATCTGCCCTGGCGCGTGGAGATCCTCGTGCGTGACTGGCAAAGGGGGCTGCATCAGAACTCACCTTTGAATTCAAACCAAGATTCTCAGGCAGTTTGGACCTGGCTTGAAGAGGGAGGCTGGGACAGGCAAACCCAGCTGGCTCGTGGCTCCAGCAAAGGGCTCCGCACAGCCATGAGCTTTGGGACGGTGTCTGTGCTGATCCCTGCTTTGCGTGAGTTGTTCTGGCAGGGCTGTGCCCACCCACCCACACCTGCTCTGTCCGCGCGGGCTGGGCATGACACTAGTTACATGATCTTGGTAACTAATTGACCATTCATTATCAGTGGGAAATAGGTCAATGGAGGGATGACAGGAGTTACTATAGAGAACTTTCTGGGTGTCTGGCTGATGAGTCTTGCCCACATGCTCAGGGTTTAGCTGATCGCCATATTTGGGGTCGGGAAGGAATTTTCCTCCAGGGTAGATTGGCAGAGGCCCTGGAGGTTTTTCGCCTTCCTCTGTAGCATGGGAACAGCTGGAGGATTCTCTGCATCTTGGGGTCTTCAAAGTATTTGAAGGCTTCAATATCTGAGATATAGGTGAGAGAATTATTCTAGGAGGGGTGGGTGAGATTCTGTGGCCTGCACTGTGCAGGGGGTCAGACTACATGATCATAATGGTCCCTTCTGACCTTAAAGTCTATGAGTCTAACCCCCACACCATCTCTGCCAGCCATCCAGAAAAGCAGGTGGCAGGTGCTTTTGGCTGGCAGGTCATCCATCTCCATCTCCTCCCCAGGGGGCAGAGCAGGGATGCTTCGGTGGCGTGGGAGGGCGACAGGTTGGGGTGGAGAGAGCTATGGAGAGGGACAGCCCGGATCAGCTGGTACCTGATCTAAAGGAGGCCATGTCCGAGGGCTGGCCTGGTACTAGTGAAACCATCGCAGGAAGTTTGGGAGGTTGCTGCTACCGGCAGCTAGAGTGTTGTATATGGACCTGCTGGCTTGTTGCCTCTTGCGTGTTTCAGTCTCCTTGGGCTAGAGGCACCCAGAGGTGCTAAATCACCAGCACAGTCAGCGCAGGGCAGGAGCGAGAATCAAGCACTGGGCTGGGTCCTGGCAGACCAGTTTCAATTCCTGGCCCGCCCACAAGCTCCTTGAGCGAGTCATGTGAGGTGGCACTGAAATTGCCTGTTGGTTTCATGATTCAGCTAAGCTCCTCGATGGGCCTTTCCATCTGCTGGCCTTAAAGCAAATTACAGAGGAGGGCCACCACATTATCCCTATTGTACAGATGGGCAAACTGAGGCACGAGGAGCAGTGACTTGCCCAAGGTCCCCCAGCAGGCACAGAAGAGCCTGTTGCTGCCTTAACACCCTCTTCCTCTTTTTTGGGACTTAATAGTGAAGAGCAGTTTTAGGGGGTCACATTTTCAAAGGCGAGGAGGGACTTGGAGGGCCTGCTTTGAGACCCTTCAGAGAGGGCTGATCTCCAAGAGGTGCTGCATGCCCACCCCACTGCTCGTCAGACCCCTGTACAGGGTCTGGAGATGGGTGCACAAAATCACTGGTTCCTGCCAATGTTCCCTCTAATTTTTTCCATCTATGTGCAGAATAAATGTTTTATGTGCACTGAGGCATGTGCAAATGTGCACCACCAGTACAAACAAGACCCTAACTGTGGGCACTCTGCTAACCAGCTGGCCAGCATTTGAATCCTTCCTGAGTGGCCACCCCAATGCACAGCGTACAGGCAACACTGGTTCCCTGCTGAGAATTTCAGCCTTAACATTTCTGGTTTAGTTTTAAAAGGTGCCCATGGTGTTAGGATCTCAGGTAAAGCCATGAAGTTACAGTTTGAGGTTTTTAACAGTGGCTTTTAGACGCATCAGTTAATTCTCATGATCTCTTAATAATGATGCTGGTGTGGAAAAAGCGAATAAGGAAAAGTTATTTACTTATTCCCACAATATAAGAACTAGGAGTCACTAAATGAAATGAATAGGCAGCAGGTTTAAAACAAACAAAAGGAAGTTTTTCTTCACTCAGCACACAGTCGACCTGTGGAACTCCTTGCCAGAGGATATTGTGAAGACTAGGACTTTATTAGTCTTCGAAAAAGAGCTAGATAGATTCATGGAGGTTAGGTCCACCAATGGCTATTAGCCAGGATGGGTAGGAATGGTGGCCCTAGCCTATGGGCTGGCTGGAAATGGATGACAGGAGAGGGGTCATGTGAGGATTACCTGTTGTGTTCCCTCCCTCTGGGGCATCTGGCATTGGTCCGTGTTGACAGACAGGACACTGGGTGAGATGTGGCCGCTCTTATGCTGATCCTGCGCCCTTCCATGCCGGTACCTGAGGTTCTGAAAGCACCTTGCAAGCTGGAGTGAGTGCAGCCTCCCCAGCATTGTCATTCTCAGTGTAGACAGGGAAACTAAGGCACGGAAGCAGCTCGTCCAACCTCACATGGGGAGCTAATGGTGGACTCTGGAGTGGAGCTCGGGCTCCGTGGAGACCCTTGCTCTACCCACGCGCCATGACACTGCCCTAACCACTAGACCTCGCTCCCCTCCCGAGCCAGAACTAGAACCTGCGACTCTTGGCTCTTGCGCTGACCCGCAGGGCGCTGCTCTTTTCTGGAGCTGGGGCTGGAACCCCGGTGCCCTGACCGGGCTGTTTGTTTCCCAGCCCTGGACGCGGACTCCCCTGGAGCGGAGGAGTGTCTGGAAGAGGAGGAGGAGGAGCTGGAGACGAGTTTGGAAGACCCGGAGAACGAAAGCGCTGGGAAGCCGGCGCCGGGCGGGCGCAGCTGCATCCTGACCCGGCGGGGCATCACGCTGCGGGTGCTGCTCAAGGACGGCCTGATCGAGCCGGGGGAGGGTGTGCTGTCTATCTACTACCT